CCCCCCCCCCCCCCCCCCTTGTGTGCTCCACTGGCTACAGTGCTTACTGTAAAATTCAGTATGAAGGATATTTTTTGCCCGAACTTTCCGATATATTAGAAAATGATATGTTGACAAAAAAAAATTCATTTAATGGAAAAATACTCGTTTAAGATAATTAAAAATAATGCAAGCGTAATTAGCGTATTTTTGTTTGAATTAATAAAATGTTTCATATATTTAAGTTGTAATTTTTTCCTTGAATTTTTCTTCCTCCTTTTCGTTGAAAAAAAATGGTCACCTTAATGATATGTAATAATGAAGTCGGAACATAATAATGATATTGGAACTTTTTCTATCCACAAAAAAGTACTTTCAGTTCCACTACAATTCGATGACTTTACTAAATAACAGATTTACCGCATGTTATTTTTTTGCAACTAAAGTAATGCAAAATTTAAAACATGTGAAAGGTATAATCTTACCATGTTCTGTTTTGATGATGACAATAGCGATTCTGTTCTGAATAAATGTCACAGAACTTAGTCATAGAATTGGAAATTTTGATAGACGTTCAAATGTAGTACCTTTGTTAGTTTTATATTCCCACCAATAGCGCACACAAGGGGGTGTCCTAGGGGTCCCCCCCAAAAAGTCCTTGATTTTTTTCAGATTATAATTTTAAGTATATAATACGTAAAATTTAATTAAATATTTGCTATTAAATATTAATAATTATATAATATTAATTTCAATAATTAGTTTAATAATTAATTTTTTCCCCTGTTTTTTATTCCCAAAAATCGACAAAATCAAAAGGAGCATGATACAAGAATGATGGACTTTCGACCCTGCCCCCCCCCTTGGAAAATTCCTGTGTGCGCTACTGATTCCCACTATTAACTAAAAGTTAAAAGTAAAATTAAAAAATTATATAGGTTTAATGGGAAACCCCACTTTTTAATAGAAGTACGTAGGCTATTCTTCCTGTGCGAATATTCTGATCTTTCTCTGAAATTGTATGAATATGTACCAAATCAGAAATAGACTTTGTGTTACACTGACATATTTCACTCTACAATACAAGAAAGAAAGTAATAATTAATGTTGCGTGTATTCAAAACCTTGCCAATCTTCTTTTTTTTTTGTAGAATTTTCTTTGTTTAAAAAAAAAACTAAAATTGCCAGTTTTTTTTTCCTTTGAACAAATATTAGGTAATACCCGTTATTATATTAACTTGAAACACGCCCGAAAATTCCCAAACGAAACGTAGTTCTATGAAATAGAAATTCTTTTGTTCTCAATAATGGTTAAAATGGCGCGATACATTTAATTTCCTTATCAAAACGGTGGAAACAGAAGAAAATAATTGAAGGAAAAAGGAAAGGATGGAAAAAAAAATACAATGAGAACCGGAAACCGAAATTTGCCTTTTCTTGTTTCTTGAATCTTCTAATTACTGCGGTTATATATTTTTTTTACAGTTTCCTTTCGAACAAATCTTAAATTGATCAACAAAGCGGAAAATGGCGCCAGTGGCAGCGATGTTCAGCAAAACCAAACAACTGATGGACTTCGAACGTCACATTTGACCGCCGGGCAAATACGAGTTGTCTAATTGGCCGAGAGTGCCATCAGTGACGTTCGGTGTGATTTATGAAGTAAGAGTTTTTCTTTTTTTTCCCCTAATTCTTTTCTCTGTTTACAGCTGAGCTCAGCAGATACTTTTTGATGATACGGTCTGGCAGGTTATCGTTTATTGTAAAAATAAGCACTCACAAAACTTGTTCCAGGCACCTTATGTTGTGAAAATTGTTCTTTTTTTCCACTCAGTCGTCCGTGTTAAGCCCTTGTAATTTCTTCGCCATTCAAGGATGTAGTTTCAGAGGTAAGTTGACGGTGTTTTAACTGCTGCTTTAAGTTTACGGTTTTTTCAGCTATAAATTCAACTCAAGTTTTTGCTTCAGAACTTTTAAATTGAATTGCATGCATTAAAAAATTTATATCTTATTTATATTAATATTATATGCAGTTTTTTTTTTTTTTAAATTCTTTAATGCTTTTTTCTGTGTTTTGCGCGTGCTGTTTTCTCTATAAAAATCTTACTAATCTCTTGAAATCTGTAGTATATTTTGTATACTAAATCCTGTAATCTCTTGAAACTCTTCAATTTTATTCTCATTAAAGCGTCGTGTATATATATATATATATACATATATATATCAGTGGCGCACAAGGGGGTCCGAACCCCCCCCAAAGCCCGTGATTTTTTTTCAGATTGATTATAATTCTAAGTATATAGTACGTAAAATTTAATTAAGTATTTCTTATTAATTATTAATTTTATTAATTAAAGCTAATTATTTATTCAATAGTTAGTTTTTTACTGCTTTTTGTTCCCGAAAATCAACAAAATTGAAAGGAGCATGATACAAGAATGGTG